GTGGCAGCCTATGGGGTTTCATAAGCCCATGCATGTATCACGATTGGACAGTAAGGGAGGCGCCATTGGACTTGGCGAAAGAGTACAAAAATGAATGGTGTCGCCACCCCATTTGGCGAATAAGAGGTGTCATTTGTTATAGCATAGGCTCAGGCTACGTGACAGCCTTTGGGATTCCTTTCTTTGTTGCATGCAAGGCCATTGGAGTTGATGGGTGGAGTCTTACACAAAACATTTATGTGTGCAGAATAGGGCCAGGATAGGTGGCAACCTATGGGATTTCATAAGCCCATGCATGTATCACGATTGGACAGTAAGGGAGACGCCATTGGACTTGGCGAAAGAGTACAAAAATGAATGGTGTCGCCACCCCATTTGGCGAATAAGAGGTGTCATTTGTTACAGCATAGGCTCAGGCTACGTGACAGCCTTTGGGATTCCTTTCTTTGTTTCATGCAAGGCCATTGGAGTTGATGGGTGAAGTCTTACACAAAACATTTATGTGTGCAGAATAGGGCCAGGATAGGTGGCAGCCTATGGGGTTTCATAAGCGCATGCATGTATCACGATTGGACAGTAAGGGAGGCGCCATTGGACTTGGCGAAAGAGTACAAAAATGAATGGTGTCGTCACCCCATTTGGTGAATAAGAGGTGTCATTTGTTACAGCATAGGCTCAGGCTACGTGACAGCCTTTGGGATTCCTTTCTTTGTTGCATGCAAGGCCATTGGAGTTGATGGGTGGAGTCTTACATAAAACATTTATGTGTGCAGAATAGGGCCAGGATAGGTGGCAGCCTATGGGGTTTCATTATTGCATGTAATATTATTGGCAACCTTGGGGGGTTGCATCCCTTACTTAATTGAAATTTTTTGCCTTACGTTGAACATAACATTGATTCACATAATCTGTAAAATCTTCCAACCTTCGAATCAGTCATCAAACCTTCAAACATTCCAACATTCATACCTTCATACAATCAATAAACCTCAAACATTCCAACCTTTAAACCTTAAAAAAATTCTACGCAATGGCCTCTTCACCACAATTTGTTGTCAAAGCACATTTCAACGGTGAGACATACATTTGTCCCACAGTTGGGTTTTTGTTTAGAAACACCGACAACATTCGATTTCTCTTAAACGGGAAAGCCAATTTCTCGTACTTCAAGAAAAGATTGGAGGCCAAACTTGAACGAGGCCCGGTATCCCAGATATTTTATCAGAATCCAGTTTTTTTTGGAAACAACCAAGTAATTTTTTATAAGGTTGAAGTTCAAGATGACGAGGATCTCCAGAACATGATTTCCAGCCATGTCTATTCTGGATACGACTCTATTGAGTTGTACGTTTTGCTTCAAGAGCCTCCGGTGACACAGGAGGTAGAGCCTCCAGTGACACAGGAGGTTGATCCTTTGGAGAATGAACAAGATGAGGTAGATGCAGTTGATGATGAAGAAGAAGATAACGAGTTAGAGTTTGATGAAATGGTGAACGACGATTCTGACGATGATGGCATCCCAAGTATTCCTACTGACAAAATCTACACACCACCTCTGCACATGACAAACTTCAACATGGGCGGAGATGAACCTTCTACTGAATTGTTTTTCCAACCGTATATGCAGTCGGATGAAAATTTAAAAGAGAAGGACAAGTTTCGTAACAGAGAGGAATGCATCAGGGCCATCAAAAAATTTCACATGCTCAACTCGGTTGATTTTAAGGTGGATCGTGTCAACCCGAAAAGGTACAAGATCAAGTGTGTCCACCCTGACTGTATGTTCAAGCTGACCGCATCATACAGATTAAGGGGTGACTGCTGGGTCATAGGTTCCATGACTACCCACACTTGTGTAAGTTCCACTCAATCACAAGACCACCGAAAACTCAACCATGATCTAATCTGTCAAGAAATCCTACCCCTGGTCAGCAACGACCCATCTTTGAAGGTGAAAACAATCATCTCCCACATCACCACGGTTTTTAACTACACTCCGTCTTACCGTAAGGCGTGGTTAGCAAAGACTAAGGCGATTGAAAGGGTGTACGGAAACTGGGAGGAGTCATACCGAGAACTTCCCCGCTACCTAAATGCACTCAAGAAATATTCTCCAGGTAGTGTTTATGTTCTGGAAACATTGTCAGCGTACGCCCAAGATGGTAGTCTACTGCATGGCAACGGAATATTCAGTCGCGTGTTTTGGGCATTTCAACCATGCATCACAGGGTTTGCATCATGCAAACCAATTCTACAAATTGACGGGACTTGGTTGTATGGGAAGTACAAAGGCACGCTATTGATGGCAGTTGCACAAGATGGCAACAATAACATTTTCCCCATTGCGTTTGCCCTTGTCGAGGGGGAGACCGGTGGTGCTTGGAGCTTTTTCCTGAAAAATCTTCGTACACACGTGGCTCCTCAACCAGATCTCTGTTTGATCTCGGACAGACATGCCTCCATTGAAAGTGCCTATAATAATCCAGCAAATGGTTGGCATGACCCTCCTTCTACGCATGTCTATTGCGTCAGGCATATCGTCCAGAATTTCTCGAGGGAGGTCAAGGACAAAACATTGAGGAAAGCGGTGATGAATGCGGGATATGCATTGACACAACCCACATTCAAATATTACCGCAACGAGATCCGTTTGTCTAATCCAGAAGCCGGTACGTGGATCGACAATATACCGGTCGAAAAGTGGACTAGGTCATACGACAATGGCCAAAGATGGGGGCATATGACAACGAATCTTATTGAATCAATGAATGGGGTATTCAAGGGCATATGAAACCTCCCAATCACTGCCTTGGTAAAATCCACGTATTTTAGGATGGCTGCGTTATTTTCCAAAAGAGGTGAAATGTGGTATGCGGTCTTGCAATCAGGACAACTATGGAGTGAAAGCTGTATGAAATACATTAAGGCTGAAAGTGCTAAAGCCAACACTCACATGGTTACACGGTTTGACCGACACAGCCACAACTTCATTGTGAAAGAGACAATCGACCACAATGAAGGCCTGGCAAGACAAGAATACAGGGTCATTTTACCTTCTCAATGGTGCGATTGTGGCAGGTTTCAAGCATTTCGTATGCCTTGCTCTCATGTCATTGCCGCTTGTGCTCATACCCATCAAGATGCGCTTCAACTGCTCTCAAACGTTTATAAATCTGAAACGTTGCTCACTGTTTACAACAACAACTTTCCTTTGGTGGCAAAACCGGACTATTGGCCTGAATACAATGGCGATATAGTTTGGCACAATGACCAAATGCGAAGGAACAAGAAGGGTCGTCCCAAAAGCAGGCGCATCACAACAGAAATGGACGATCTTGACAGGTTGGAAAGAAAGTGTGGTTTATGCCGTCAGGTCGGACACAATCGCAAAAACTGTCCGAATCGGGCGTCTGGCTCGACCACATAAATATTGTAATACAATAAATCTTTTCAATATTTGTGTTGTAAACATTAGGGTTTTCCGTTAATAAAACTGTTAACACAATTTAAGAAATTCAATATAGGAAATTACATTAGGGTTTTCGCGTACAACAATGATTAACGATATTCAATCTAGGAAATTACAACTGTTAACACAATTTCATCTGACCCATGCATCATCAGCATTACATCACTGTCTGTTTTGACTTCCTCCAACCACACATTAGGTCTTCCTGTCGCATGCGAGGTTGTTGTTCGTTTTCGCTGGATCCTTCGAATTTCCCCCCCCCCCCCTCCGCGATGTCTCCATCTAGCCACCGCATCAACTCCCGCTTCAGACGCTCCATGGAGTGAATGTGCCAGAATTTCATTTTCATCGCAGGTTTCGTGGCGGAGAATATAACGTAACCATCTCTGCTAAAAATCATAGGCGACGTCATTACGCAAATAACAGAGTACAAAATAAAAATACAGTGCGAGAAAGTGTGAGAAATTTCAAAGAAACAGACGAATTATTTATAAAACAGCATTTTGCCCTAGTTTTGCCCTAGGCGCCAAGTGAGATGGCGCCTCCTCTCATTTTTAAGGAGCATGCGCCATCTCACTTGGCTAAAAGCCAAGGGAGGCGCCAAGTGAGATGGCGCCTAGGGCAAAACCCTAGGTGCATGCGCCAATTGAGATGGCTCCTCCTTTGTGGAGCCATCTGAAACATGGTTATTTGCGTAATTTTTTCCGAAACCCGGTTATTTGCGAAATATTTTTTTAATACATGGTTATTAATAAAAAAAAATTCCATATTTTACTTTGGAAACAATGGCTTTGTCAAGATCTTTAAAAAGATTATGATTATCGGTCATATAAATTGTCAATTAACAACGAATAACTCAAACAATTGCTTGTAGCAAAACATGTTGCAACGAACAATTGTTCTTCTTCTTCTTGTTCTCTAAATACATTTACTTCCTCTGATTTTGATCTGCATCTTCTCTGTACACTACCAATTGTCATATTTTCTGCACTTGACATCAGGTCTCCACCAACATCTTCTTTTAAGGATGATTTGTTTTTTTACAGTGTGGACATGGTCTAAAAGTTTCATCGTTTCGCTTGCTAGAACTTTCGGATTTCTTGTTGCTTCCTCTTGAATTTTTTAATTTTACATAAAAAGCACCTTACGGTGAGGATTACCCCAATTATAAAAACATCTTTAAATCATATATTATCCGATATGAAACTCTTAACATGAATATTAAACTTTTTCTCAAAATACTTAAAAACAATTCAATAGTTTCTCTTAAAATTTAATAATATTATAACACTAAAGTAATTTCTACAAAAGGTGATGGTAGTAAAAATTTATATTCAAAAAGTAATTCCTAACTTGTGATTATACAAGTTTTTCAAACACCCATCCATTCAACTCTAAAGAAGAAGTAAAACACTCTTCATTAAAACTACATATTTTCTTCCTCACAATTTGTATCAACCTCTTCATCTCAATTTTCAACAATACAATCATTATAAAATATACAAGACAACCAACCCCTTTTGTTAACTAACTACATATTCTCTTCCTCACATTTAGTATCAACCACTTCATCCCAATTTTTGATCTCTTCAACACTTCCATAAGCCCAACTACACAACAAGAAGTAAAACAAATTAACCAAACTTAGAATAGTAAGTAGCCAATAGTAGTAATCAATGTGCCCTTGATTGATATTTGATGATAACCAACTAACTTTCCCTTCTCCTTGTGTCCCAATCTTAACAACCTTAACTATAATACTAGCCACCAAATTCCCTGTCCCAAGTCCAAGAGCAAAAAATGAAACAGCAATACTAGACATAGTTTTAGGAAACTGAGAATAAAAAAACTCAATCTGTCCAATCACATTGAATGCCTCAGCAAAACCAACTAAACATTGTTGAGGCACTAACCACATTGCTGTCATGTTCACTATACCTTTAGGATTATTCATTAACCCTTCTCTTAATGCTTGGTTTCTTCTCTTTTTCTCTACTAATGCAGCCACTAGAGTAGATAAACATGAGATTGCTATACCAATTCCCATTCTTTGCTTTAAAGTTAGTCCTTTTCCTCTTTTTGTGTATTTTGTTAACAAAGGAACTATGATACGGTCATATATAGCTACCCATATGGTTAATGTGAGGATTCCAAATGCAACGAAACTTGTCGATGGAATCTCAAAATTGTGAAATGTTCTGTTCATAGTGTTTGCTTGGACCACAGAAAATGATTGTTGGCTTATTGTAATGCCAACTGTGATTCCTGTTGACCAAATGGGAAGAACTTTGATCACTGCTTTTAGTTCCTCTACTTGTCTTACTGTGCACAAACTCCATGCATCAATTGGTTTGCCATTAGAGTCTAAATCTTTTTCTTTGTTCTTCATAATGCATGCCTTGTTCAAGAACCTAAGCAGAATCAAAACATATTCAATTTAATAATATAAAAATACGGATTTAATGGAGATGCACTGACACCTCAAAAATTACAATATGACTTGGCGGGATACATCGTCGTGATTGATTGACAGTGTAAAACTTTTTTACACCGTTAGTGCATCACCCATTTTCTCTAAAAATATAATAGTTTTTTTATTTTAAAACTCGGTATCTAACCCTATGACCGACTAATCCAAGTGAGATCAATTTTACCGTCCACTTATCAAGTTCTATTTAAAGTCAGAATAAAGTTCTATATGAACTGCCTTAACATAAAAATTATTAGTATCTAAGAGATTCGAATTTAAGACATTAAGAAAAGCACACTCTTAGGTCTAACGCCATCACCAACACGCCAACTGTTGATGGTACAAATAAGGGGTGGAAAAATGTGCCCAGCCCTCCAGAAATGTTTGTTTTGCTTGCACATTTTTGCAAGGCAGGACAAGATTTTAAGCCAACACCCTATAACGTGTGTTGTGTCCTGCCCATCCAATTTTTTTGGATTTTTGCGAACGCATGCATTATTATACATTTTTTTAGTTTAAGTTTAAAAATTGTGATGCCCGCGGATCCGCTCCGCCCTCAATTTTTTTAGGAATGACTAAGATTTTAGACTGACACCCTCAACTATATCTGTCCCACTCGATTTTTTTGGACTTTTGCGGGACGGTAGTTTGCCACCCCTAGGTAATATAATAGATTCTTAATTGAATAGGACAAAGGAGTACCTTGCTTTGTCCGTAGGATGAACAAGAATAGAGCCATTATGAAAATACCACAAACCAGAGTTGTTTTGAGGCAGTGTCATGTGTCTGTTTCTCCATGATGCAACAATTACTTGAACAAATCCAACAAATAAACTCTTGTTTGGTTTAACTTTAACATACATAAAAGATCCCAAAAAAAACATGACACAAGAAAACAACATAAGACCCACAGGAATACCAAAACCAACAACCCAACCTGCTTTAACTTGTATGTACACTATGAACACCACAGAAACCGTCACTGAAACACCAACCGAAACATAATACCAGTTAAAGAAACTCTTCATGACTCTCTCATTTTTCGTACTTTTCGCATCGTTTATCTGATCAGCTGCAAAAGCTAAAGAACATGGCCTAATTCCACCAGCTCCCACAGCCATTAAAGCAAGTGATGAGAAAAGAAACAAGAACTGTGCTCCGGTTGCACTCGTGCATGGCTTTTCGTCGCAACGTGGTGGCCTTGCTTGCCTAATGATTGCAGTTAGCCATAACACAATTAATCCCTGCAACAAATTAAGACAAGATTAAACAGTGTCCCTATTCGAATCTTGTTGGAAAGAACCAGAGACAAAGCGTTCAACCTAACAATATCGGTTATAACTTACAAGAAGGTCGATGATTGTTCCCCAAGCAATGACACGAAACCGTCCAAGACAAGAATCAGAAAGAAAAGCACCAAAAAGTGGCATGAAATTGGATACAGCATTCCATAAAAAAATTATGATAGCGGCAGTTGAAGGTTCTAGTTGATACTCATTGAGTAGGTACAAAATCATATTCACATGAAGTCCTACAGTTGCAACTTTCTCAAAAGTCTCATTTGCTAATTAAAAAAAAAATCAAATCAAAAACAACTTAGTATTCATAATTCATCATAACCTTAATTTATGTTACATATTATAAATACCTATGATAAAAGGCATGGTTCTGTAACCACCCAGCTTCTTGTTTACAACTTGTTCTTTGTCTTTGTTTTGCTCCATTTTTCTTCTTCTGCACTCAAAATATGAATCAGAACAATAGAAGATATAGGTTTCAAAAAGTATATACATAAATGTATACCCGTACATTCTGCCTGCACCGCGAAGAGTATATTTCTCACCTTGTTACAAACAAGTAGTGGACCTTGTTCTTATCTAAAACTATTGTATTCTTGTTAATTGTTATTAGTACTAGTTTCTTCTGAAGGAGAAAAATACAAAGTATTATTTGTCCATTACTGTTCAGACTTCAGAGAAGATACATTACTTTAAACACGGTAGGTGTGATATACTAGAGTTTGGTAAATTTTATATATATTTTAATAATTATTTATAACGTTTAAGTGGAACGTAGAGGTTAGATTAAGTTGATGTATATCCAAAGACGAATCAAAAGTTCCAATGGTTGAAGCAAAATATAGCAAAATATATACTGTGGTTAATTATTTGGGTAAAAGAAATATTAGTAACTCAAGACCGGAATATATAATTTAATCTTTTGGTGTATGTTGAAAAGAGAAAAACAAAAAAATAAGCTTGACCAAATGATGTGATATATACGAAAACATTAGTAACAAAATATAAAATATATTAGAAGAGTAAAAATAAAAATATATTATAGAGGAATACTTTAGACTTATAAGGTGCACCTGAAATAATTAATGTTAAATTTGTTTATAATCTTATAAATTCTATAAATATAGAAATCAAGAATATAATTCTAAATAAATATTTTAAATTTATATTCGAATATAATTATGAGAATGAAAGTGAAAGCGTATCTGAATTTGTCATTGAGAATTATTAGAAATGTAATTTATTTAATGTCCACAATTCTCAATACTTACTCTTAATTAGGGCATTTTGGCATTTTCTATTTCTAGTATAAATATGTTAACTAGGCTATCAATATTGTATCCCAAAAATTCATTCCTCTATTTGAATATTAAGAAGTAGTCCTCTTTGTTATCATTCATTATTCATTCTTTATCTCTCCTTCCATTACCTTGCACCAACAAATTGGTATCTAGAGCTTTTGGTTCTGTTTTTCCTGGAAAACACGAGTGGTTGTGAGCTGTGTGTTTGAGTTTTGTTCTTTGATCTTCTGTTGAAATCTTGAACAAAATTCTGAACAAAATTTTGATTCTGTGGGTTGGGAAACAGTGTGTTTAAGATCTGAAAATCCGTGCAAGGTTTAAAATGAGTGGAGACGGTAGTTTGAACACTAAACTTCCAGTTTTAATGGCAAAAACTGGAACAAATGAATGATACAAATGCGTGTACTGTTCGGTGCACAAGATGTTCTGGATCTGGTTACAGATGGTTATGTACCAGCTGCAGCCGATGCAACTGAAGAACAGAGAACTGCTGAGAGGTTGATGAGAAAGAGGGACCAGAAAGCTCTATTCTATATTCATCAGTGTGTGGATGAAAATGTGTTCGAGAAGATTGCTGATTCAACAACGTCTAAAGGGGCGTGGGATTTACTGACGAGATGTTACGGTGGTGAGGCATCAGTAAAAAAGGTGAAGCTTCAATCCCTACGAAAGCAATATGAGAACCTGAACATGAAGAGCAGTGAGAAAGTTTCTGAATATATCTCCAGAGTGATTCTGATCACTAACGAGATGAAGGCGTGTGGAGAAACTCTGACTGAACAGGTAATCATAGAGAAGATTCTGAGGTCGCTCACTCCTCAGTTTGATTACATTGTTGTTTCTATTGAACATTCTAAAGAACTGGAAACCATGAAAATAGAAGAATTACAAAGCATCTTAGAATCACAGGAGTTACGTCTGTCTGAGAAAACTTCTGAGAGAAGCTGAGCAAGCTCTGAAGGCTTCTTTTGTCAAGAAAGACCAGAAGTAGAATAGACGTGGTGATAGATTCCAGAAGTCAGAAGCCTCAACCTCTGATGATAAGAAGTATCATAAAGGAAAAGAGAGGTATGACAAAAGGAAGGTTCAATGTTACTCCTGTAAACAATTGGGCCATTTTGCCAGAGATTGTAGGTCAAACAGGGATAGGAAATCAGAAGAAGCATATATGGCTAAGAGAAACTCTGATGATGAACCTTTACTACTAATGGCCTCTGACTCTGATGGAAAATGCTCAGAAGATTGGTGGTATATGGACACTGGCTGTTCAAATCATTTAACTGGAAACAAACAATGGCTGACAGACTTTGACTCCAGAAGGAGTACAAAGATCAGATGTGCTGACGATAAGTATCTTAATGCAGAAGGTATGGGAGATGTCAAAATTAGAGTGAAGAATGGGAAAGACATTCTGATCAAAGACGTCTGGTATGTTCCTGGTATTAGAAGCAATCCGATGAGCGTAGGTCAGCTGATTGAGAAAGGTTTTTCAGTTGTTATGAAAAACAATCATCTGACGTTGTATGACTCCAATCAGAAGTTAATTATGAAATCTGAACAAGGAGGCAACAGAACATTCAAGGTGAATCTAGAAACAGCTGAAGTAACGTGCCTTAGTGCAGAAGGTGCTGAAAGTAACAGTAAGCTATGGCATAAGAGGTTAGGACACTTAAACTATAGAAGCTTAGGGCATCTATGTTCTAAGAAGCTCGTACGTGGTATTTCAAAAATTGTGAAGCCTGAGAAGTCATGTGAGATATGCATGAAAGGTAAGCAACCTAGATTGCCATTTACATCAGAAGTAGCCCCCAGAGCGAAACATGCTCTGGGAGTAGTACATTCTGATGTGTGTGGACCATTTCTAGTACCTTCACTTGGAGGAAACAATTACTTTGTGTCCTTTGTGGATGAATTCACAAGAATGACATGGGTAACACTTATCAAGTTCAAGCATGAAGTGTTTACTGAGTTCCAGAAATTCAAGGTGAAGGCTGAGAAGCAGAGTGGTCAGAAGTTAAAAATTCTAAGAACAGATGGTGGAGGTGAGTATAACTCTACAGTGTTTCAAAAGTTTTGTGAGGAAAATGGAATAGAACATGAGGTTACTACTCCATATACTCCTCAGCACAACGGTCTTGCTGAAAGAAGAAACATAACTCTGCTTGATATGACCAGAAGCATGCTGAAAGAGAAAAAGCTACCTCACGTGCTATGGGGAGAAGCTGTTGCCACATCAGCATACATTCTGAACAGGTGTCCAACGAAGAAACTGAAGGAAGCTGTTCCTTTAGAGAAATGGACTGGAGATAAGCAGAGTGTCAGTCATCTGAAGGTGTTTGGCTCTGTCTGTTACAAACACGTTCCAGAAGCTAGAAGACAAAAACTGGATGATAGAAGCAAAATAATGTTGATGGTGGGGTACCACAGTACATGTGCGTATAAGCTCTATTGTACAGAAACTAATAAAGTTGAAGTCAGCAGAGATGTTGTGGTGAAAGAGTCTGAAGCATGGGATTGGAACAAATCTCAATCTGATTCTGGTGTAGTGCCAACACCAGAGTTATCCTCTGAAGATGTTTTAGAAAGATCAGAAGATGAATCTGATTCTGAAGACCCTGAAGATTCTGAAGATGAGTTAGAAGAAGATGATCCAGATACTGATGATGATCCAAAATCTGGTGGTAATCATAGTTCTAGAAGGGAAAACTCTGAAGGTGGTAACTCTGAAAGTAGTAGTTCTGGTGCAGCTTCAGAACAAGCTCAAAGACCACAGAGAATTAGACAAAAACCCAGAAGGTTTGCAGATTTTGACATGCTGCAGGATAATGACGTTGACTCTGAAGGAGAAGTCGTTCAGTGTGCCATGTTAGTATATTCTGAACCAGTGGGCATTGAAGAAGCTCTCAAGAAGAAAGAATGGCTTAATGCCATGAAATAAGAACTTGAGGCAATAGAAAGGAACAAAACTTGGAAATTGACTAAACTTCCAGATAAGAAAAAAGCCATCAGCGTCAGATGGGTTTTTAAGTTGAAACTTAATCCAGATGGTTCCATTGGCAAACACAAAGCCAGACTAGTAGCTAGAGGTTTTATTCAGAAACCTGGGCTAGATTATTTTGAGGTGTTTGCACCTGTAGCTAGGCATGAAACAATCAGACTGGTGATTGCTTTAGCTGCAAACAGAAATTGGCCTTTAATGCACCTGGATGTGAAGTCAGCATTTCTGAACGGTCCATTACAGGAAGAAGTTTACGTGTCACAACCTCCTGGATTTGTGAAAAAGAATCAGGAAGGGATGGTATACAGGTTAAATAAGGCTCTGTATGGACTGAAGCAAGCGCCTAGAGTTTGGAATCTGAAAATTGATTCATTTTTTAAGAAGCAGAGGTTTCAGAAGTGTGAGATGTAATATGGAGTTTATGTACAACACTCTGATAGCAATATGATTCTGGTGTGTCTCTATGTTGATGACATCTTGCTAACAGGTAGCTGCCCAGAAGATATAAAGAAGTTCAAGGAAGTTCTGATGAATGAGTTCGAGATGACAGATCTAGGAAAAATGACATATTTCCTAGGAATGGAGATTATGTACTCGAAGAAGGGTATCATTCTGCACCAGTTAAAATATGAACAAGAACTTTTGAAGAGATTTAAACTGCAGAACTGCAAAGTTGTTGTGACACCATCAGAAACCAATCAAAAATTGGATTCTGACTCTGATGGTGATTCTGTTGATTCTACAACCTTCAAACAGCTTGTTGGCTCTCTAAGGTATTTATGTAATACTAGACCTGACATTTGTTATGCAATTGGGTTGGTCAGCAGATTCATGAGTAATCCCAAGTGGTCTCATTTCCAAGCTGCTGTCAGAATTCTGAGATATATTAAGGTAAATCTGAGATATGGAGTGTTGTTTCCTTCTGAAAGAAAGTCAAAGTCAGAGTTAGTAAGTTATTCTGATTCTGACTGGTGCGGAGACAGAGTGGACAGGAGAAGTACCTCTGGATACTTGTTTAAATTTCTGGGAGGTCCCATTTCCTGGAGTTCCAAGAAACAGTCTGTTGTAGCTCTGTCAACATGTGAAGCTGAGTATATCGCAGGTGCTGTAGCTGCTTGTCAAGCAGTTTGGCTTCTGAATCTCCTGCATGATTTAAAGGTTGAGGTTGAGGAACCTCTGAAGCTGATGATTGATAATAAGTCTGCAATTGATCT